CTCATTAAATGATGATGTTGGTCTGGTAATATTGCAGTTTTTTTCTGGACATGTCAGAGAACACAGATAGGCTATGTGGGAGGGATTCTGAATGTGCAGAAAGTTTTGAACATGAGCAGAAAACTCACTGAAACACAGGAGCAATTAATGTCCAGGAATTTATAACTGAATTAAAATGTATCAATTTATCATTGAGGTAAAAAGTCCCATGTATTTAAAGAGGTTATTTCCCCAAACAAAGACTCAAAAGAGGAGGGAAGGCTAAGCATGTGTACTGACTCAGCAGGGATTTTATTAAATTAGAAAAGTTGATCTACAGGAGAAAAAATATTTAAAAGCAATAGCTGCAGAATTCCTGAGAGTCTTACTTCTCGCCTAGGGCTCCAACAATGACAGCATGAGTACTGCCGGCACTGGGGAGATACGGTTCACTGAGGGAACCATGAATGCCAACATGTGCTATGACATACTGAAGCAGAGCATGATCCCCTCTCTTCGGAGACTGGGCCGCAGGGCAGTATTCCAACATGTTAACGACCCCAAACACACCTCCAAGACGACCACTGCCTTGCTAAAGAAGCTGAGGATAAAGGTGATGGACTGGCCAAGCATGTCTCCAGACCTAAATTCTATTGAGCATCTGTGAAACATCCTCAAACAGAAGGTGGAGGAGCACATGGTCTCTAACATCCACCAGCTCCGTGATGTCATCATGGAGGAGTGGATGAGGACTCCAGTGGCATCCTGTGAAGCGCTGGTGAAAATATTTACATTTTCACTTAGGGATGTACTCACTTTGGTTGCCAGCAGTTTAGACATAAATGGCTGTGTGATGTGTTATTTTTTAGGGGACAGCAAATTTAGACTATTACATAAACTACTACTTTACATTGTAGCAAAGTGTAATTTCTTCAGTGTTGTTAAACTTGGAAAAATCACGAAGGCCTTGCTAGTGACTAGTGATGTACTTGGACTTATGTACTGCAGGACAATTTACAGTATGTAGCAAATAAAAAGCATATAATACGTAGCAAATAGCACAGCAGTACAGATTTAAATTCTGACAGATTCACGAAAGTGAACATTTTAAGCTGCTTGGCCCTTCTCTACAATCACTGGCACTGTGTAAATAAAATGGCGGGTAGACTATTTTGTACAAATTGTTGTCGGGTGATTGGTGGCACATATGCTTTGTAATAGTGCTGATAGAAATAAATCAGGAGGACCATATTCAAATATTGATATATTAGGCCTATCAGAAACTTGGCTAAAAGAATCATCCCCTGAAGCTGGTGTTGTTTTCCCTGACTATAATGTGTTTAGAAGGGACAGAGGTAAAGGAAGAGGTGGGGGTGTACTGCTGTATGTGAAAAATAATTTGGTGTGTTCACAACTAAGTATGCCAAGTGAGGTCAAAATTGAAAATGTATCAGTAAAAGTATCCCTCTCTGCAGAGATGACTTTTACTTTGGTTTGCATTTATCGTCCCCCATCTGCCAAAGTTGACTTTTATGAACAACTGCAGGTACTACTTAAACATCACACAACATATAACAAGTCCAATGAAATTATTGTAATTGGAAACTTTAATGTAAATTGGTATTGTAAGAAAGATAGGAAATCACTAAAGTACATCATGGACAATCTAAATTTTTCCCAACTCGTTCAGCAACCAACAAGGATTACGAAACACACAAAGATCTACTTTTCAGAAACAGACCTGAAAGGATAATTAGATCTTATAATTTCTTGACTGGTCTTTCAGACCATAATATTATACTGTTTTCTAGGAAACTGTCCAAGTCGAGGGTTAATAATGATTTTTTTAATTCTACAAATAACAGGTCTCCTTATGAGTTTATACCTAACAGCCAACGACAAAATGTGGCCACATCCCTGTCATCACTGGACTGGGATATAATTCTGTCTGGTGAAAATCTTGAATTTTGTAGTAGCAAATTTATTAACTCTCTAAAGAATGTAATCTCAACCCATTCGAGCAGAGGGAGATATACGCGTAAAAAAAGGTGCCACTTGCCATGGCTGAATAAAGAATGTAAAAATCTGATGTTAGCTAGAGACCTGCTATTAAAGCAATTTTTCAAATCAGGTCTAACAACAGACCGTTTACTCACATGCGAAACAAGGTAACACAGAGCTTGAGACGGGCCAAAGCTAATTTTTTCATTAAAGTAATAGAGAATGCAAACGGCAATGGAAAATTTGTATGGCAAAACCTAAATAAATTGCTTTGCCGACAATTAAACAAAAACAGTAAGGACATGGAGCTCCAAATTAATGACTCGATTATTAAAGATCCACTCTCCATAGCCACTAACTTCAATAGTTTCTTTATAAATTCTGTGAAAGACATTACGCAGCATTTTGCTTCATCTCTGTGTTCTGACAATGTTATCGATCCACATCAGTCTGTATTCAAAATTATTGAAATCTCAGATTATGAAGTAACAAAAATTATTACTGGTATGAACAATTCAAAAGCCCTTGATGCATTTGGACTCAATACACATTTTTTTAAAAGAGTACAAGAACCTTCTTGTACGTCCAATTACTCAACTTCTGAATATGTCCTTTAATCATTCTATAGTTGTTGCAGATTGGAAAGTGGCTGCAGTAACACCAATATTCAAATCAGGCGCTATAACAGACATGTCCAATTATAGACCTATCAGCATACTTCCTGTTATAACAAAAATAGCGGAGAAGTGGGTAGTCAGATTACTGACGGCCCATCTGGAAAATGTCCAACCTTCATCACATCCATTACAATTTGGTTTTCGGACCCATCACTCCACCAATAGTGCCCTGTGTGTGTTAACAGAAAACATAAAAGGTTTGCTTGACAAGAGTTCTTGTGTCGGTGCTGTCTTCATAGATATGAAGAAAGCCTTTTTAACTCTGTAAACCATCAAATTTTATTATCTAGGTTGACTAAATTTAACATCTGTGATCAAGCAGTTTTTTGGTTTAAATCCTATCTGTCCCACAGGAAACAGTACGGGGTAGTAGATGGTGTCAAATCTCCCTGTCTAGATTCTGGAGTTGGGATCCCACAGGGGTCTATCCTCGGGCCGGTTCTGTTCTCTCTGTTTATCAATAACCTACCAAATTCATGTCCAAACGTCTTTTCGCATGTATGCGGATGACGTAGTAATTTATACTCAAGCAAAAACTATCCAACAAGTAGCTGCTGACCTCACAGCGGCTCTATTCTATGTGCAGGACTGGCTAAAGGATTCATGCCTCATGATGAATACCAGAAAAACTGTGTGCATGTATTTCTCAAAACGCCATGTCAAAATAATCAGATCAAATGTCTTTCTGAATGGAGTGGAGCTTTACCTGGTCTCAGAATTTAAATACCTTGGGGTAGTTCTCGATCCAACATTTTGTTTTAAAAGCCAGGTAAAAAAAGTATCACAGGTAGTCAAATTTAATCTTCAAAATTTTTTGCATATTCAAAATTATTTAACCATGGGTGCAGCTAAAACATATGTTGATTCAATGATTATTTCTCATCTTGATTATTGCTTGACTACCTGGTCTCTTGCTTGCCCCACAACATTAAAAACCATAGAAAGTCTCTATAAAAAGGCACTAAAAATACTTGACAAAAAAACGTTAGAAAATGTTAAAAAACATAGACTATTGGATTTTCAAAATATGATCAATTTGAAAATGGCCTGTCTGATTTACAAGGTTCTATACTCCCTCGCTTCTCCACCGCTAAAGGATTTTATTAAATCTAAAGAAAATTCTCAGAGGACCACGCGAGACTCTACCAGAGGAGACGTAATAATACCCCACAGACTTACCACATTCGGTCAGACGGTCCTGTCAGTCTGGGGTGGGAACCTGTGGAATAGTCTTCCTATAACATTGAGAGAATGCCCTACAAATAGCTCGTTTAAAGTCCAGCTGAAAAAATGGCTATGGGCAAATCAAAATTGCACACATTAATGGGTATGCTGTATTTTATTTTAATTAATTTTAATTAATTATTTTATTATTTTTTTTTTTATTTAATTTTATTTTTCTCATTTTGTTTTGTTAATTGTATATGGATGAGTGTTTGTGAACTGAATGAATTTTTTAATTTTATGTGAATATTGTATATAGGACTTTTAATGATTTAATGATAAATGATGCAGATGTAAATTTGATTCTGTAATGTTTTATGACCTTTGTGATCTTAGCCTGTGGGACTACGGATGGAAATGAGCTCGTAGCTACAATCCGACATGTTTACATGCATGTATTCCATGTTTGCTCATTAACATGTACTGTCCCAATCAAATAAATAAATAATTTAAATCAAATTTGGTCAAAAACTAAAGTTATTTCCATTAGTCTTCATTATAGGACAGTGTCAGACCTAAATGAGTATAATGTTTCAGTATGCTGTATCAAGTTTAACAGCTCTGTAATGTGCAGCTGTCACATTAGAAATAAACAGTAGGTATTGAGAACTCATTGAGTGGTAAATTAAATATATTAACTTACAAATTTACATGAACAGCAATTTTCTTCCAGAATTCCTCTCTCTCCTTATTCCCCACAACAGTGTTTCTTTTTGCCATCATACTTGTTTTAAATTCTTCGTAGCTATCTATTATAACGCCCTGTTCCTCATAACTGAAGTAGGTGGCACTTGATCGGTCCATTTTGTGCGGATGAAGAGTCAAATGATGCGCCAAACGCCCCCTTGTATGGGAGCACACACAGAGCCTGAAAACCAGGGTTAACAAAGACAATTCATAACCACCATTGTGATACCCATTACCTTTGATTGGAGTTTTAGGTTTTGTCGAGCCTGCTAACACAACGAAAGCCTGGCTTTGTCAAACTTGCATCGTAGTTCACCTCTCCGTTGACTGCTGTCTAAAATGTGATGTTTTGCGTCTGTATTGCATATGTGCTGTACTATGTTTTTACTTTCTTTTTCTGTTTTCTGTGCCCCTCTTTCTCCCTTGGTTCAGGTGTGTGGAGTGTCGGTGGCCTGGAGGTCTCGACAGGTAAAGTGTCTTCAATTGAAGCAATGAATGGCTCCACAGTTCTGCTGCCCTGCACCTACTCCTCCTGCATTGGCATCAAAAACCTCTACTTCAACTGGCACTATTATGACAATGGAACCATGCTCAAGGTGTAGCATGCATACACACACACACACACACACACACACACACACACACACACACAATCTTTTCCATGTTGCATGCCTCGGATACATTGTGTTGCTTAACACATGCTGATGTTATCTCTGTATGTGTATCTAACAACATAGGTGTGTGTGTGTGTGTGTGTGTGTGTGTGTGTGTGTGTGTGTAGTTATGTGAAGCGGTGATTCCCATTGAGGGTGTGGAGCCCAAGGTCAGTGTGTACCATGAGCGTGTGGAGTTTGTCGGCTCCTCAAAGACCAACAACATCTCCATCCTGCTGTGGAACATCACCTTCGAAGATGAGGGAGAGTACATCTGTTTCGCCAGGAACCCAAAAGAGAAGAACCGCAACCACAGTGCCATCTACACTCTTATAGTGGTGGACCAAAGTATGTGACACACGCATGCACTTGCATACACCTGGCACACAAAAACACTAAACATGCATTACTATTATATACCTTCTGACAGATAAGAATACTGATAATCTCACTGCTAGTGTCAAGCATGCATGTTTATGTCATCTCTCTAGCTTGAGTTTCTCCCTCACAATGTCTTTCCCTCTCCCCTTCTTTCAGTGAAGGAGGTTGACAATACTTTGACAGTCATCATTGTCTCAGTGCTGGGTGGAGTCATTGGCTTAGTTATCATTATCATGGTGATAAAGGCCTTGGTTGTTCACTTCCTGCTGAAGGATGATGAGAAGAAGTGAGTAGATCACTGACTATAGTAATACAGCATATATTGTGTGCGACCACTTATCAATAAAATGTGGCTATTCAGTGTGACTGTAGCTAATAAACAACAGAGAGACCTGCCTATCTCAAAAAAAGAAATACAAATGTCTATCAATCTATCAATACTTGTCAGTAGTGAGTTGGATGTGGTAATCAACTGCTCTATTAATTTTTTTTTTTAAATGGGATACTTTAATGTCTGCGTTTTGATGTAAATCATCACGGTAGACTAACTGAATTTATGGCAATAAGACAGACCAGAAAATGACTAAAACGCATGTTGTTACAACATCAGTTCCCCAACTGTATTCAACCACAGACTCTTATTTCTATCACATAGTGATTTGCATATATGTTTTTGGCTATTAACATACATTGTTCAGAAACCTGGTGTATTGAGCTGTTTTTATGACAGGGCAATTACTATTTGTACTGCAAAACTACTGTGAAAACTTACACTGAGAAGCACCGATCATTTAAACAGTATAACATGACCAAAATCTACTTGTCTTACTGACCATTTGGATTAAAGAAACCAGAAATGCAGTTTCATGGCAATTTCTGCATTAAAATGTCATCTTAACTGGGTTAATATGAGACTAAAATTTTTTTGTCCATGTTAACAGGACGTTTGCTACCACTTATTAACAAAACTTTGGCTACCCAGCGTGACTGCAACTAATAAACAAGAGATACTTGATACTTTTATCTAACATAAAAAGACGGACAAATGTTATCTCTACTTTGTTTTTTCACACCTATCAACAATTGCTAAGCCAGTAGTAAGTTGCAAAGCAGACATCTATTTATGAAATAGGATACATACATTATACAAAAAGAGTATACAAAAAAGGGTCGCATGATGCATCATGTTCTTCCGTTTTAAATGAGTTCTTCTGAGCATTCAGTTAGCTTCTTTCATATGTGTTTCAGTAATAACCTAATTACATATTTCCAATTTGTGTCCAACACAGGATTATTATTTGGGGCTTTGAGGGTTAGGCCACTTATAGCTCTTATCACTGCAATGTTCCTCCCTCGATGGGTGTACATCTTAACCTTTGGTTATTCTGTCCCCTGCAGTAAAGAGTGCCTGGTGAGCTCCTCAGGGAATGACAACACAGAAAATGGACTTTCAGGAGCCAAAGCTGACAACAAAGGGACACCAAAGGCATAAGCAAAATGCAAAGTATGTCTGTATGTTTGTATATATGTTAGACAAATGTACACGCTGGGAGGAAATGCTGTTTTCAGTGGACTGTTTTATCTTGCTAGTGGCTAACTAATACAACATGTACATGTCTATTTTAAATCATGCTTGAGATTTGGGAAGTGTGAAATGTGCAAAGGCCTGGATCGCTCTTTCACCTACATGGCAGCCCGTCTGTAACACGGCATACAGCCTCTGTTATCGAACTCTGCTCTACATCGTACTGAAACCTGACACTCTCTACAGTAGAGCCTCGCCTCAACTCTCTGCCTGTAGTTACATATCCTTGTGGTTTTCATACCCTTATTTTCTTATTCAGGTTACATCTTCAAACACACTACACTTTTTTTTTACTTTGAACCCTCTATAACCATGATACAACTAATAGTAACTATTACATCATTTTCGAGGAAAACCTTTGCACAAAGCAGATCCTCAGTTGTCTTAAGTTCTTTATTTATAGAGCAAATTTCAATATTTAGCTGTCAAAATACAGTTACCAGTGTCAGTTGACAAGCTAAAGTATGTTTAACTTTCAGTTTGTAATTTGTGGGACTTTTGTATAAAAACAAATCTAACCGGTGGGAATACGCACCTGCCAGGATGAATCACCACAATCTATGAACTGCCTTCATGTCAACAGAACAACAGCAGGAAACTGCTGAAAGGCTTCTCCTCCGACCACCTCTCTTGACACTGACCCAAATCCACCTGTAAACCCAAACCAGAGGACCACTGGGGGGAATTGAATTGAGAGCAGGTGGTCAGTACTTTTACTGAAGTAAAGGATCTGAGTACTTCCTCCACCACTGTGTATACAACCACTAATATATTTAATATGTTTTCTAACAAGTTAACACACCTAACAAGTAACACAACTCTGCTGTGTTACCGGCTGACTCTCCGCTGTTAAGAAAGGTGGCCTTGTGGTATAACTTGTGTATATGATGTAGAATAGCAGGTTTGTTGTGGGAAGCAAGTCTCCAGCAATCACAGAAACGTATATGCTAATAGGGGTAATTAAGTCACCTTAGTCAGCCGTAATATGGCTATTTAAGCATTACAGTTACGGAAAATATTGTGTTCGCTGTCACAGAAGAGAAATAACAAGTCCGTGTTCATGCAGTGTTACAACATTCTTCACAGCAGAGTTGTGTGCAACTTACCATGGATAAAGCACTGAGCTAGCTAGATAATGACAGATAGCTAGATAGCGACAGTGACAGCGAGGGTAAATTCGAGAATTGCGATACAATTACTGATGGTCATCCATTACATGCCGCAGCTGTGTGCAGATGATGCAAAACAAATCGTGGTCATTCAACTTATGTGTTGTATTGATAAGAGTTTGCAGTGAAGTAGGCCTATTTCAACAACCCTGATGTCACTTTATTTTATACGCCAAAGAAGTTTTTCACTCACATTTGGAGTGCTAATTTTGGACACTGGGTGAGAGACACAAGAATTGGCAAGCATGGGATGCATATTTCATAATTTATTAGAATCAGATCATTTAAACCTATATGTCATTTACAGTAGATTATCAGTGTGCTTCCTTGCGAAATTCACTCATGGCTGTACCCACACTGGCCCACTCTGTCTGACTGACAAGCCCTCAGGGCAGCTCTACTGCTTCGTCTCCTCACGTTGGACTGAGGGCAGACTGGACTCAGTCACTCCCTATCACATCTCGAGGCACAAGTGGTATTACAACACAGGACGAGATGGAGCTAGCTTGTTAGCACGATAACTTCAGTAGATATCTCTGCAACACAATAGATAGACTTCTTTGACATGACGTCGGAACTTTTACTTCTTCACATTCTGTGGATCATGCAAGTTAATTTTTTTGAATGTTTTACTTTAACAGTTCTGTCCAAATCTTACACATTGAAGTTCAACTTGCATGTTTACTGCTTCATCCAAGTTTGACACATTGCTGGGGTGTTTGGTTCATTAATGCTGACAGCAGATTTTGAACAACTACTGGCAAGATAAGGCTGACAAGCGGGCTCCTTTTAGGTGACTGAAGGATTCCGTTCTGCACAGGTTTTATTGTTTTGCTTTAGATGAAACACAGGTGCCTGTTCTGCTTCTGCTCCCCCTGCTGGTGGGAGGATAAAAATATAGAAAAGTATTAAAAAACAACCAACCCTAACCCTCATCAAAGACAATCCCTAGACTACCCAGCTCCCCATAGAAATGAATGAACTTAATCATGCTGCTTCTGACAAATAACCAATGCATTTTTAGCATGTGCGCATTTTCTATACCTTCATATAAGTATGTTGTCTAGCACCACAGTACACGACTATTTCTGTGTCTCTATGTATGCTCTCATTTAACCCTTCACATTGACCTCAACTGACTGAAGCTCTGTCAATGAATCAATAAGAGCCTCCCAACACTGCTACAACATTTCTTACCCCTTCAACCAAGTCAAGGTGAATAAAAGGTGACTTACTTACACTTAGGCTGTGTCCGAAATCACCCACTACTCACTATATAGTGGACTCCATAGTGAGCTCATCATTTTGTAGTGCTGCCCGAATGTAGAGTGATAATTATTATACCCTATATAGTCCACTCAGTGTATCCCAGTATGCATTTTGAGAAGTAGTGTACAACTGACGGTCACTAACCAAGCCCTACATACCATCATGCATTGCGCTGATAGAAAAAAACAGTCCACCAGCAGATTGTCCTATGGCAATGACGTAATTAAATAACGATCGGAGTAGTGTCCGAAAGTACTGTTTTAATAGTGAGCTCACTACATAGTCCTCTACATACTCTCCTACATAGAGGGTAGGGAGTAATGAATGAGTGGTCATATCGGACACAGCCTTACTTATTCAATAGCAAGTATCCACTTTTTCACACTTGAATGCAGACTCTAAATGGCTACTTTGCAATACACACTTGCTCTGATAACCATAAGAAAATATTTTCACACATACACGTTTTCTGAATCGTGCTGAGATAGTCCAAACACGTCCATTGATACTGGCTCAGCAATATAGGTAGAATAGCATTGGGGCAGACTGCTAAAGAATGTAATGACTGTCAGGGAATAGATGTCTAAAAAGTATATTTCAATTTATTATAAAAAAAAATTATATTCAACATGGTAATGTTACTATCAAACGAATGTATGAATGTCCCAATAGGCCAGTGGTTCAAATTCCTTTGCCAACTTATTCTGTGTGACTCTACAAGCAGCCAATCCTTTGAGTGTTTTGCTCAGTTCAAAGTTCAGATGAGCAAAACAACTGCTTGCTGTGACTGTGTCTAAATATTTGGACATTATAAGAAATTTGAGTTGGGTTTCTAAATAGCACTGGTGTCTTAGCACTGAACATTTTATTGTTTTTAGTAAACGTCCGGATTAACATGTGCTCAAGAGCATGGAGGGAACTGGGAGCTGTTGAGAGTAAATTAACTAATTGAAAAAAGATATTATTATATACAAATTTAAATGTTAGACCATGCACCAACTATACAGCTTTCGACATTTCAGAAGTAATCACCTTGTGTAAAAATAGGAAAAGTCAAAAAAGTCTTCATAATATATGCATAAATTTGATCTTGTGATAAGTCAGCGTGGATGAACTTAGTGCTAAGATGCCTGCTGGAAACTGGAACCCGTTCTCTATGTGACTCTCAGTACGAGAGGTCAAGCTGGCAGACATGATCTGCCACACCCTCACACATAACTTGAATAGCTATGATAGCTGAAAGCTACACACAAATATACGCACACACATACACCCCTACACATGCACTCATACACTAAGAGTAACTTTGATACCAGAGTGTTAGTACACTGTCCTTGCATACAAACAATATAGCACTTTACCACAGTTTAGAGTGGGTGCACAAAACGCATGAAATTATTGAAGTGACTTCAAAATCATTGTTCTTCTTCTTGTACAATATATTAGAAGAGCTAACAAAAACTATCAATTTCACTTGTTTTTCAAGTTTGACTGAGTACCTGACAACAGCATTGTGTCATAATGGTTTTAGCACTGACTGACTACATGTCAATGTATCAACGTGTCAATGGAACAGAGTTTTATGGCAAGCTTTTATCTTATTTTTCTAATTGTTCACTCCCGTCAGCCTGCTGCTCTGTAATACTGGAGTGCATATCCCTTTTTGCTTTCAATGGAAGCAATAAGACAGACATCCGTTTATGCAATAACCTGTTATAAGGCACTTTATAGATGTGTCTGGACAGGCTATGATGGTAACTTTGTCTGTCCAAGGCACTGTTCATTGTACCGATGTATGTATCTACACTGTACAAGTGTATCTCAGTGTATCAACATGAGACTACATTAAACAGGTTTATCTGCTTTGGAAAACTGTAATAGCTGCTAACATTGTAACTATAACTGTGCAGTGTTAGAAGTGATACTTGTTGTGTTGTAAAACTGTGAATGTTATGGAAATGAGGGAGCACCACACACACACACACACACACACACACACACACACACACACACACACACAGACACACACTGTCTAACAAGATGTGTGTTCAGATCCTTCTGTAAAGACGGTACATATATCCAAAGTCTTCCTGTGGGGAAAGGCAATATTGTGGGGTTGATCTGTATGTTAGTGTACTTTTCATACCACATAGCTTTAACCCTATTATAGATTAACAAATAGGTGGTTTCATGTAGGGACTGTGATGCATAACTTGTGTATTTGTGGCCCATTGTTTCTGCAGTGAAGCCCATTAACCCTGCCTTTATGTTCAAGGAGATTCCTCCTTATCTCTGACTTTCTCTGCCAGTATGAATTTATTTCCCTGTGGTAAAACAACTACTGAAAAAGTGGGAAAAAATGCCATACCAAAATATGTCCAGCAAAGCAGTCACAGGTATGTGAGGAGGGTGTTCTAGTGATGTTCTGTTTTAATGGAGGCCGGATATATGAGTGACAGATACAAAATGCAATCTGATTTAATGCATGTATGCTGTAGGTGTGGAACAGCTGCTTTTATAACCACATGAAATTATACTGGGTTATGAAATCGCCACAATTTTAACAATTTTTTATATAATTTTTTTGTTTGTTTGTTTTCTTACATAAACCCCTTACTAGATTTTGACCTGCCTGGCTCAAAAAGAAAAAACAAAACTTGAACCTTACATGATTCTTGAGGTCAGCCAACAGCTTGCAGTGATTGCTGCAGTACCGAGGATGCCCTGTACAGTGTAGGAGCGTCTCTGCAGTGGTGCAATACAGTAAATAAAGTAGGACTGCCACCCAGTGGTAGATGCCCAACACATCAAATAATTTCCTCTAGTGGAGGCTGATCTGACATACAATTCAAACATGCACTTGTTGCAGTTTGAATCAGATTGAAAAAGACTGTATGATAAAAAAAAAATGTGTCAACTTAACTTAAAGCTAAGATTCAAATTGTATGTAATTGAGTGATAAAATCATGCAATTTCCATAGTTAAAACAATACATGGTTATAAATGGTTTTGAAATACCTAGTTGCTAATTGCTTTAGATAATGCTACTCTTTAGATTGTTTATAAGTATACATAATTGTAATCCCTGTGCCTACTGGGCATTTTATTTACATTTAAAAAGGGGTGATGTGTATGCATATGTTAACACTAAATCTGTTAGGAAAAGGATCCACATAACAATTTGTACAAATAGGAATCCTTTATCAAATGGCTCACAGAGTGAGCAATAAATAGTTACAGATAGTCTAAGTGTTACTGTCACGTTATTCACTAAAATAACAAAGTGTTAGGATTTCTGATTGACCACTATGATTGAGTTAGTATTGCTCTTACTGCCAGAGCGGCTGAAACTCACACTGCCAATCCAAGAGTCTCACGTCTGCTGTTGTTACAACACTATTACAATGTCACACAACTGACTTAGTACACTTACACTACTAAAACATGTTGTATTACCGTCTACTGCTGTATTAATGGTATTTCAGTATCAAATTGTTGATGATATTGCTCTATGCTACTCCTGTATTTCTAGCAACTGAAACTCACACTGCCAAGCCAAGAGTCTGACGTCTGCTCTCTGCTTCCCACATTCCACACAGATCAAAATATCAAACCGCAAATCTAATGTTGGTGTAGTTCAGCAGAAAAGTTAACTTTACTAAAAACCTGATGAAATAGGAGCAGTATGTTCTTATTTTTGGCACAAACACAACTATTTTCCTTTGCAAGACATTTGGTGAACTTTGTTCAAATTATTGTTAGAGCTGCTAAACTATGATGCATATTGTGACCTATTGTGTGTCAATATTGTATTACACGTCCAGCAAACTGCCTCCTACTGTAGCTGGCCAGCTATTTGAATTATAATAAGCATAGGCTGACACTGACCTTTTCACATGTTGTCACTGTTGTCCTGCATTATAAACAATTTCAGAAATATGTTTTACATCCAGTAGCAGTAAACGTAACTCAGTCTGAATCAAAATAACAAATCCATATCAACACACATTTTATCTTAAACTATCCAAGGCCACTGACGTAATACAAATTACAGTATTCTACAATAAGTCCACATCATGAGGCACAGTCCATTCAACACACACACACACACACACACACACACACACAGACACAAACACACACAACAAATCTGCAACCCCAGGTTTGCTGCATCAACTTTCCTCTGAATGTTCAGCTGTTTGTATGTATTTGTGACCATGTTGCTCATGCTCCCTTCATGACTATGCACCTCAAACTTTTGACTTGTTAAAAAAATATGTATCAGAAATAAAATGTTGATTGAAATTCCCAGAGCGCTGTTGAGTCTCATTGTGTCTTTATCCAACTTTAGAGTATTCTCCTTCACTTTTCATCCACATCAATAGCTGATAAAGAGTGTGATCGCTCAATTTGGGATAGGTCATATTCTTTTTGTGATTTTAACTTACAGAAACTCAGACTCAAAGAAGAACAGGAATTGGTTGATAGTGATACTGTAGAGGACCATACTGATTCTTACTGTAACAATAAACCAAAAATGGTATTGCAATATCATACCACACATCGTTTTTATTTTATTTTATTACAAACTGTTCCACTACGGTTAGTAGCAGCCATGCTGGTTCTACCATTCTATTCAATCACATCACTTAGCCTACATCAAGCAAGATCAGCAGCTGCAGCTTTAGGGTCAAATTTGTTCTTTTGGGGAATACAGTACATGGAAGAAAAGCCAATAAATGCTCAATAAGGTGTTGTTCTCCTTATTTCAATTTAATGCTAGAGTAGAAACTGGCCAAAACAACAATATATATTGTTGCAAGCAGAAGTCACACCTCATCTGGCCTATTTGCCTTAGGTGTATCTTTTTCAAAAACACAATATATGTAACTAAGGAAGTTAAGTGAATTTTCACAATAACAGAGCTTGTGTTGCTATGATCATATACATTAATAATATATTATTAATAATACATTAATTTTTCCCTGCGACCCTGTATGCAGGATAAGCGGTTGACGATGAATGGATGGATGGATGGACATTCATTTTGATAAAGCTCACACAAAATGATCCATGTCATTTTATGTGAGCATTGGCATATTGTTAAAAAAGTTTTAAAAAACACCACAACTGATTAGCAACAGTTAATACATATATCTTTTCTGAATAATTGATTTAATCCAAATAAAACCTGCATTTTAATTCAGTGTATCCTCTTCCATAGACAGGGCATCCGAATGAATCCTAAATCCTGTGTATTTTAACTGTAGGGAACTTTAAATCAGTCAGTGGGTGAGATAACTGGGGCATAAAATAATTTCTGGGTGGTTAAATACATTATTTTGGCAATTGACAAATCAACATATAGGCCTAGCACGGTTTCAGGTTATTGTTAGATTGCTCCATACAGCCATCTTGTGGAGTTTTTGTATAAGTGTGCCATGTTAGTTTCTGCTCAGTGTGGACAGCATTGCAGACAACGGAATTTCAGTCAACACATGGCTTACACATTTTATGTGGTGTGTTTCTGTTGCTGCCTGTACAGTCTACAGATGATGCACACACTTTAGCATTTCCTTCCTCAATTATTAGAGCATGTCGATAGTGCCTTAAACACATACACTACGAATAAAATGCCCTCACTCACAAATGGATTAGGTTTGACATATGAACCTTAGTGACAAAATCGTACATAGTAGAGCTCTCTTAACTTTTACCATTCATTCTCTATGGTAGTTCCATACGGTCTATGGGTAGTTCTTATCGCTACGGATGTAATATATTTTTGGCCACATGCGGGATTTTGGTGGCGCTGTTTCCCCCCTTGGGTAAAAGTAAGGAGACCCCGTGTTTACGTTTGAGTGACAGACAGATATCAGCAGCAGCGGCAGGTATCTGTCGGCAAACGAACGTAAGTCAAACTGTTTGTTTTCATTTAGTAAGATACATTAAGGCTTCTAAAATGTTTGTGATTAAACTATTATATTAATAGTTAGTTTGCTTATGTTAAATGATGTTGTCATTGACAGGCTCTAACTCGGTTTGTTCTAACTTAAACATTAAGTTAGCTAGGAACTTACATTAAGGTTAGTTATTATATAAACTGTATGTCAGCATTAACATTAGTTATTTTTCCGGCTTTCAATAGCTCTCTTGCTGACACTGATCCAATATTCTGCTTTCTTTGATTCTTTCATTGTGTTTTGTCTTTAAAAATGATAGACCTTCTTTTATCTATGATTAAGACTTTTGTGCTATAACGTTAATTCATCATCAGTTCATCAATTCTCACTGTGAATATTTAGAATCAGTAGATAACACAGCCAATGTCTATTTTATAGCCTACATGTAAGAGAGTTGTTTAATTGCTATGACAAAATCTGTTTAACGTCTAATGCTCTTACAAAGATTAATTTTAGTGTTATTCAATTGATATATTGCAATGTGTTTTGCTGAGCACAGAAGATAATAAAGAAGACCATCATATTCTTCCCAAGAAGGATGACGGTGTCGTTCAGGAAAAAATTTGTTGCAGGACAAGTCCTCCCCTCGGAGACATGACCTTGTGAGGACTAATGCGCTCACTGTGGTCTGTCAGTGGGGAGGAAATGTGTTTCCAGACCTGCCGAGCCTGATTACCCCGCTGTGACTTTTGCTTCTGTGAAAGGTTATTATATTTGTTTACTTCTCACTTTAAAACATCCTGAATGTTATTCAAATTAAATGAAGTACAAGCAGCCTCTGTCCCAGGCTATGACCAGGCTCTTGATTTAAGTTAAAACGTTTCAACATTACTCAGAATGTAAAGACAGATAAGCGGTATGAAAATCTTGCAGTTGTGTTTGTTGTGGTGGCAGCCCAGCTGACGGTGAGTGTCCTGCTTATTCCTCCTTTTTTTTCACATATTCTGTTTTCCCCTGGGTTTTGCCTCTCTCCCTGTGTCTCCTCCCCTCTCCCTGGGTGTGTGCTCTCCCTCTCTCTCCGCTCCTGAGCTGGGCTGACAATCCACACCTGCACCTCATCAACCTCCACCTCTGCCTGCCACACCTGTCTGCAATCAACCTCATCTCAACCAGTATTTCAACCCCGGTTTTCCACTAAGTCTCCGCTTGATTGTCGTTGCTCTTGACTTGGTGCCACTGCAATATTCACTTCATTTGTACCCTGCTTCCCCGTCTCCTGCTTCCCTGTAGTAACCCTGTCTGTCTATCTGTCTTCCCCTCTAGGTCCACTCACCTCTGTGTCCCGCTCGGTCAGCTGGGCTCGCCTATCTGCCTTTTCCCCCTCGCATCATCTCCACGGCGCTCCGCCGGTTCCCCTTCGCTCCTAGCCAATCAGCCTGCCACCACACTCCTTCCCTCCTCTTCCTCTTGCTTCCCTCGGCCCTCTCGCCTGGACCTATCCTGCCTCGCCAGCTCCTCGGCCCTTCGTGCCCGCGCCTCCCGGTGTCCAACTCTTCTCCTTCTCCAGCCCCTCAGCTCCCCTTTTTTCCCTCAATAAATCAGTTAAAAACCAGAGCGTTGCGTTTGGGTCCGTTCTGTCAGAAATCATAACACTGTTTTCCTCTGCCGTTATTACTGCAGCGGTCTGTGTCGGACCAGAGCGGTCTGTGAGCTGGATTTAGTGATGAAATAACATATGAAAATTGTTAAATATAAAACATTCTGTTGCTGGCCTCTGTCTGGCGCGCGCAATGATGATGCAATGAATAGTGACTATTCTCTCACTATTTGGTATTGCCTCTGCTCAACTCAGCTCGCTTGGAACCTCGATGGAGGTGATCTGAAACAAAGTACCAAGTAGCAGGTACAGGTACAACTTTTCCCCAATGGAAAACCAAAAAAGGAGAGTTGAGGTGAATCGAGCTGGTACCATGCAGTGGAAAAGGGGCATGAGTTTTGTCCTGGGTATAATCAGATTCAGGATATGATCGTTTTCATATGATAAATTTAAACTGTTTAACTTATCTTGTTTCTCAGCAGGTCACTCACTCTCAATCCAATCCAATTTTGTTGAAATCAGTTTGTATAGCTTATACCTATATTGATCAAAACACCTGATTTGGCCCTGTTCTGGAGCGTGTAGATGAGCTCGGGACATCCTTACTTGAACTTTTATTTAATTGTGTAGAACATCAGTTCTTTTCATTTATTTGTCAATATAGTCTTCAGGACTGAAACAAAAAGATACTAAGTTTACATTAACAGAAGACAGAAAACTCATAAGCAGTGGTGCGTACAGAAGCTGAAACCAAAAAATGTTTGGTATTTTGCTTGAAAATTACTTAATTGATTATAATTAACTAACTACTAACTAATTGATTGCTAATTGTTTCAGCACTAATATTGCATATATGTTTATGGATACACTACATACTGTACCGTACATTTCACTACCTGTTGATTTGGTTTTCTCAAGAAAGTAAGTTTGGATTTTGTGTGTTTAATTATTCAGGTTTCAGCTGTGTTTCAATAAAATATCTTGAAAGCAATATGTGATTGTCTACTTGGGTAGTAATAGTGTAGTATTCATAGTAATAGTAGTAACTGTGGTAAACACAAGACACAATATTGTCTACTTTGTACAAAGTTATCATTTTGAACATTCATACCTAATAAGGTTGGAATACATAAAATGTAATGTGCATTTTTTTTTTACTTTTGAAGCAAATAATAAAATTGTGCTCATCTCAGATTAGAGTGACCTTGACCACATGTGAAGTTGAACATAGAAAAAGAAGTGACACAAAATGGCTATTTGATTTTTGACATAGAGCCTCTAGTGTTGGAGGTATGAACAGTGTGATTGACTTACACACAAGATAACTTACACGCTCCCCCGTACCTTGATATCAGGGGCGAAGGTAGACCTATAGACAGTGCAGCTGCACCGCGGGACTTCAATTACTGTCAATTATTGTCACTTAGCCTACATGATAAAAATGCATCAAATATCAGTCATCTCTAACAATCAATTAGTCTAAGTAACCAGTTCATCTTCAACTATTTTACTATCTTGCCGGTTAAGTGGTAGGCTGTAGGCTATATATACACTCATGTGCATTTCCCCCTTTGCTGGGGTGATCAAACCACAGTAGCAAACACTAGGCTATAAGGTATATGGTTAAATATAAAAATAGATTCCACAGATTCAACAGAAAGAATTTAGTCTTATTTTCTTTGGTATTCGCGTCACATAGCCTAGCCTATACATGCAGTGATGATTTCTGGGTAATGTGTACATGGCTGCCCAATCTTAAATTTCTATTTGATCATGTAACAATACTCCAGAAACCGGTTGAAACGCAAAATCTGACAAGTAGACTAGCAGAGCGCACCTACAAGCTAGCAATCATGCAATTCACACATAAAAGTTGTTTCAAGAAGAGAACAGGGGGAGAGGGTCGCAAAGCTCCCAAATAAAACTGTTTTGGATTACTAAGGACGTTGTCAAATATTTCGCTCAATGCAGGCTCGTCAGATGCCATTGAAATAGGTGAGTAACTTTACAAGTGCCTTAGTGGATTTGGTGTGGCTGGCATGCTGCTGTTTTAAAGGCTTCTATCATTTCGGGGTCAGGTCTATCTGTTTAATTGTGTGGATGTGCTTGTGGGTATTAAACTGTGTGGCCTGTTTTCAGGACATGATGTTTATGAGTTTGACACTTTTCTTTATTAGCCTTTCACCATAATGTCTTGCCTCTCTGTCAAAGAGGAATGTTATTGTACTGAAATTGCCTGAAAAAGTCTGCATCATTTCAGCACAGAGGACACCTCCTGCAGTCTGTATAGTGACGTTTCAGGACAGCACTGGCCATGGTCCTCATAACTATCTGTTTGACTTCTGTACTTTGAAAATACAAAAGTCTAGGTGACACAGTCCGATTCTAAAATCTAACCTAGACTGCTGCGTCCCGTCGCACGCATCACAGCCTTAGCAGCAGCAGCAGCGCGCGTGTGTTTTGGAGGGAGACGCACGCAAAGACTGTTGAATTTAATATGTTAATATAGAAATAAATCGATTTAAGGAGCTTTAACTTAGGGATTTGCTGCATCTAATCTTATCAGTTGTTAAACCCTGCAGAAGGAGGAAACAAGGCACATAAATTTGCCAATATAGGGTTCCCTTCTAGACACGAAGTTATTGTTACTACCTTTGAAGTTGTGTGTATTGCTTGACTGGGAAAGCGCAATTTAGGAAAGATAATAATGTTACAAAATAGACACATGTTTGCTGTTACCGTGAAATTCCGTTGTTTGGAAATAGATGCATTGTATTCTGCTGCAAAGGAGACTGAAGAGACATGTCATTCACCATAGTGTGGTATGTTTTTGGTGTGATATATGTTAGGCTATTTGCTAGCTAAATTATGTGTAGGCTATGATTTTGTATGTTTGGTGTTTCAAACGTGGCCTTCTTTTAATATCAGAAGCAGAATCAGCTTTATTTGCCAGGTATGTGTACACATGATGAATTTGACTCTGGATTGTACAATGTTCAGGATGTGCTTACTTATACAATAATACAATAACACAATAATACAGTATATATGCACCCCAATCTTAAATTAAACAAACTAATGAATTGATTTGGAGTAGTGGTAGGCCTAATGGTGTTGGTGTCCTATGGAATAAATAAGATTAATATCCGATTTTGCAGACTGATGCAATAATGCTCCTCAGCCTACTGACTGTGACTAAGATGCAGTCAGTAGTCTGTGTTACACCTCAGCTCAAATATCATTTTATAGCCTAATTAATGTTTGCTCAAATAGTAGGAAAGCACAGGTGTTGCTAACAAAATTAAAGGTACAATGTGTAATTCCTGGCCACATGCTCCAAAGAAATAGCTAGAGTCAGCATTTCACCAGCCAGGCTTACTCTCTAAGGGATTCTGGTCTCCTGCTCTTCTGCTTTTCTGATCTCATGTAGCTTATCTTTATAATAACATCATAAATAAAGCTTTTTATTTATTCATGGATTGGCAAGTGTGGCTTCTGCAACAATGAAGTTAAAGGATCATTACCTTGTGTCATAATAATAATAATAATAATATTTTTATAATATTATATATTATTATAAATATTTACAATATTTATTGAGCACTTTTCAAAACAATGTAACAAAGTGCTTTCACAAGAGCAAACAAAATAAAACACAGCAAACAAAATAAGAAAGTTATGAAATTAAAATACAATTTAAAGAAAATAGATAATTAAAATCAACGAAAATCAAGAAAAGCTCTTCTATAAAAGTATGTTTTAAGAAGGGACTTAAAAGAGTATAATGAAGCTAAAATAGGGGTGATGTGATCATGTTTCTTATTTCCGGCTAAAAGCCTGGCAGCTGAGTTCTGGACAGTCTGGAGTCGATCAATAGATTTTTGGGTCAAGCAAGTAAAAAGGCTGTTGCAGTAATCCAGGCGTAATGATATAAAGGCATGTAAAATGGTCTCAGTGTCCTTAAAAGTTAACAATGATCTTATTTTTTAAAAATATCTAGGCTGGTTAAAACATGATTGCGCAAGCTTTGTAGCATGTGGCTCAAAACTTAAATTACTGTTGAACCAGATGCCAAGATTATTTGCAACAGGCCTGATATGATTCACCAGGGAAACAGCAGATGGCAGTATTTGCTTTGCCATTTACTGGGACCCAATGACCAGGACCTCTGTTTTGTCTGAGTTCAGCTGGAAGAAATTACTTGACATCCAATCACAGAGGCAATCGGTAAGTGAACTTCCATTCCAGGGTCTGAAATAGGAAGCTAACATTATCTAACATGAGCCAACTAAAATGCACAATATCACAATATACTTAACATGCTTTGCAGTGATGTCAGTTTACCTGTCCAGTATGATGAAAGCCAACTCTGTGTTGGTTTTTATATCCAAAACAAAGTGGAGGTCTCTCCCTGACTCAAGTCTTTCTGGTGTTGTTTTACCTGAAGGGCTTCAGCACATAAAACTTTATTGTTGTTTTTAATCCTTCAGTGGAGTTTGTGTTGGAGCCTGTGTTGTGCTGGGAGCCATTTTTATGGTGTTAGCTGACTCCATTTCGTTAGCTGTGGTGTTGTCGCTGTACAGTTCAGAATCAGTAGGCAAGCATGAATGTCACAGCCTAAAATCCAACCTGATTTTTTCACACAGAAAGAGGCCGTCACAGGTGAGCGAGAAAGCTGGTGAATGGCTCATTTTTATGTGAGGTTACAACCCCTTCACACAGAGGCAGTAAAAAAAAAAAAATTCATTAAAAAACTACATATAGCCCCTTTAAACGAAACATCGTTTGTCAAATACTCTTCTGTCGGTCAACTAGGCCTTTTTCTCAGGCAGCCGTTATCACCGTGAGCTTGTCATAGTAGGAAAACCACAGGTGTTACTAATAATATTAATGATTGCTCTGTTGTGTCCCAATGATTCATGACAGTGTGACAATGAGCCCATATGCACCACACCAGGACCATAAAACTGAAACGGCAAATTGGAATTCAGCCATCAGTCATTATA